TTAAGCTTTGTGGTCATGTGTGTGCTTAAGCTTGTTATTCAATGCTGCCTCTGGGAAGTTGTTGACCACTATCTGTGATGAATGTCTGAGAATATATTGCTACTGTGATGAGCATTATTGTACCACAGTGGTGTCTCTGAGTAGTGAAGGTGTTACACCTTTTGTGGTCTTGTGTGTGTTTAAGCTTGTTATTCAATGCTGCATCTGGGAAGTTGTTGACCACTATCTGTGATGAATGTCTGAGAATATATTGCTACTGTGATGAACATTATTGTCTCACAATGGTGTCTCTGAGTAGCGAAGGTGTTACACCTTTGTGGTCTTGTGTGTGCTTCTGGTCATTGTGTACTTATTGTGGGCTATGCATATGTAGTTTAAAAACTCAGCAATGATGACATGGGAATAATAATTTAAATGCCTTATGTTTGCTGTTGTTTTACATGGTTACATATAGAGCCAATGTGGTGTAGTTGCCTTGATGTGAGTACAAAGTCCCAAAACCCAAAACCCAAAATCCAAAAACCCAAAAAACCCCTCACTGGCCACCACTTACAAAAATCAAAAACCAAAAAAGCTGGGTTCAGTTCAGTGGTAACCACAACCCAAAACAAAAAAAATCAGGAATTAGAAGGTTGTGTTCAGTTCAACTATGAAGAAAGGTAGTCATCTCCATCTTCAGTGTTGAACTCAACCATCTCTTCATTTGTGTTAGCATTCTGTTCACCAAGCAGTCTTGCTGTCTTCTCAATTAAGGCTAGTTCAATGTTCAAGCAGCTGGGAAGATTCCCTGCCCTGGCTAGTCTGTCTTTCCCCATGTGTGGCAATTTGTAGTTGTTGCCTCCTTCATTTTCCATTACTTTAGTCAAAACCTGTTGGTAAGACAACCAAACCTTGTTTAGGGTTTGTGGACTTAGAGCATCATATGCTCCTTCCACTGCCTCTAATAACTCTACCACAGTACTTAGAGCACACTGATCTTTTAAAGACTGGATGGCTCTGAAAAATCCAAGATCCAAGACATTCAAGTCTGGGGAGTTAGGGGGTTGGTTGTGTAGAGTTATGTGAAACCCATTTGTGTTACCTGCTGCCATAAAGTCTGAATCCACTCCTTGAATGTGTGGCATTGCATTATCTTGCTGAATGTGTATGTCTTTAGATAAATGTGAGGGCCATTTTTCTTGGATTGCTGGTATCACTTTATTGATGAGCATATCTTTTGTGACTTGTTTGGTAACACTAGTTATTGGTTTCACCTCTAACACCCCTTTGGGTCTGTTCTTGCTCTTCCTTTTGGCTTTGCATTTTTCTGTGAAATGAAATATGCCAACTTTGCCATCCCATAACACTTCTCCATTATCCCCAAATAGTGGTCTCCCAACCACACACAGAAACATCACTTTAGCTATGAACCTTTTTGATTTACATGCCCTGTATGGGTCTGCTTCATCAGGAAGGAGATAAAATTTCTGAGATGTTTTAGACATAAAGAACCACTTCTCATCAATGTGCAAAACATTGTGAAAACTCTTAAACCTAGGGTGGATTGGCATGCTGTAGGGTTCTACCTGATCTAAACAGAACCTGAGCCTTGAAATTTTATTGGCATCTGTGAGGTATGGTTTTATAGCATTAGAATGGCTCCTAAGCAGACCTCTTTTAATCCACTCATGAACAGTTGATTTAGGCTTACCAATGGCAGCTGCTAATGATCTTACATTAGTCCTCTTCCGGAGGGGAGTGTCTGCTATAGCCTTTATATCCATCACTGCCCTTTTTCTGCCACTGTTTCCTGCCAGTTTGCTTCTCACATCAATGACAATGCCCTGCTCTATTTGTTTCTTTGCAATGGCCCATATGTTGCTCACGGTTTTTCTGGACACATTATATTCTGCAGCAAGCGTGTTGATCTGCCCGTACTGAGCTGAGTATGAACCGTCTGCATTTTTCTTTGAATGTGAAAGTAGTGCTTCACTAATAATCTGCCGTGTTGTGTTGTCCAGCTTTTTGGTGTTTATGTGAGTGGTATTCATCAGTCTATATGTGTGCAGACCTCCAGGAATTAGGGATGAAAAAAGAAAAAGGAATAAGGCTCATTGTGAAAGCATACTCCAGAAAAGGTTGCAGAAGAAAAAGAAGAAGAAGACAGAAGAAAAAGAAGAAGAAGACATGGGAGTGCAGGCCAAAAATGGAAATGAGTGGGGGGGTTTATGTAGTCAGTAATGCTTTAAAAAGCAGGAATTTAACCATTTTGGGCGGGCCTCCAATTTTACCTCCCTTAACGGTTAAACACATTACATTAGGAACTAAACTACATTGTTAGGTACGGTTAAAACATTAGTAAAGTTTGTCACCGTCATCAACTTAATAAATCCGGAACAAGCCGGTACTTCATTGGTTTAGAGTCAAAAAATTTCAAAAGAAAGTAATTCCCGTCAAAACCGTAAAGTGTACATTATAAGGCACTCACTAAAAAGAAGGAAAAGTCAAACCGGGAAGTTTATTCCCGGACGGAGGGAGTAATTTTTTTCATAAAGAGACAAGTTTTATGGAGAAAGTATCTTTTTTTACCCGGTCAAACGACTCAACACCCTTTCAAGTTTCAAGCACCTCTCATCTTCCATTAATTCCACCATACACCATATTCCTCTCCATCTCTCTCTCTCTCTCTCTGAAGCTTTCTCAATAATTCATCCATGGCGGCGTCCTCATCAGAGGCACCCCCACCCCCTGATGAACAACAACAACAACAACCACCCTCTCAAAGCCCCCTCCCTTACAAGGTACATACATACCTACAACCTCCTATATATTCATCATCATCTCCTTTTTCTTCTACTATATACATTCTTCACTTCATTTTTGACACTATACATCACTGTATGTTTTCATTTATTTAATTAACTACTCAATTTCATTTGTACTCATCAGACATGGGTTTTGAAAGTTCCAGTCCATTGTCAAGCATGCAAAAGAAAAGTCAAGAAGGTCTTACACACCGTTGATGGTATATATATTATTAATTCATTCATTATATAACTATATATCTCATCATAGTCATGTTAGAATAATAATCCTACCATCGTTTGACTTTCTAAGATTTTTGCATATCTTGTGCATGCATGCTACGTACCTACTTTCTTGTTTTTCCGGCGGGCTGTTCGGCGGGGGATTTCAATCTATATACAGGAGTTTACATAACAGAGATTGACGAAAAGCAGCACAAGGTGACGGTGACCGGAAACGTTGAAGCCGACACCTTGATTAAGAAGCTTCTCCGCTCTGGCAAAACCGCCGACCTTTGGCCGCCGCCGGAGAATGACAAGAAATCTAAAAATCGGAAGAACGGCGACGAGGAAGAGGAGGAGGACGACGGAAGCGAAGAAGACAGGGAGGAAGAGAAGCCGCATCCCCCAGCTGCCGCCCACCAGAAGGCGGCCGCCACCGGCGGTGCGATGGCGGTCAGATTCGACCTCCCTCCGCACCCTGCCCCATCCGGTGACGGGCCAGATAAAAAGAAGAAGAAAAAAAAAAAGAAAAAGAAGAAGAATAAGAAGCATGACGAGGCGGCGGCGGCAGCGGCAGCGGCGGCGCCACCTTGTGGCGCCGGAGCACCGGCGAACACGGGAAACGAAGCGTGGATGGTGGGCCCACCGTACTATCCCCACATGTACCCTCCCCCAAGTTACTATCTCCCTCCTCCTCCTCATCATCATCATCCCCTTCCTCCTCCGCAACAACAAACTGCTTACGTGGTGAGTTATAATAATAATAATAATGCGGCGACGCACCCCGGCGGCGGAGCAGCGGCAGCGCACTACTTGGCACCGCCGACGTATTACACGCGAGCGGAGGTCCGGGCGATGAGATGTCGGCCGTTGGATTCGTTTGAGGTTTTGAGCGACGAGAATCCTAACGCCTGCTCTATTATATGATGATCATATTAGTAAATTCTTTGGTGTGTGTAACTATTATTTCTCTATGGAATACTCCCTCTGTCCCATAAAATCTTTCTTCTTTCTTTTTTTATCTGTCCTACAAAACACTTCTTATTTAATTTATATTAAAAAGTCACTTTTTTCCCTTACTTTTTTATACCCTAACTATCATATCATACTTTTTTACTAATAATCTATCCATCAAATCATACTTTTACCCATCACATTCAAAGACATTTTTGGAAATTCAATACCAAAACTCTCTTGTTTTATGGGACGGTTTGCTTGACCAAGTTTTTACCCCTTCTTTCCATGACTTTGATCTAGTCAAACTGCATAATTTTCAGTTTTTCCCAACAAAATTTGACCGAATGCCGAAACTCATTTGAGAGATTTATTTACAAATTTTGAAATGAATAACTAAATTTAAAAAGAAATATTTGCACTAAATAGCACTCAAACTTAAGTCATTTCTAAAATAACACTTAAATTGTTTTATTCTCCAAATAGCACTTAATGATGTCTATAATGACCAGTATCGATGACAAACATTTGTTTGAATAATGATTAATGGATAATGACTAAAAGTGCTATATTGTCGAAAAAGACATGCTATTTAGAGAAAGTCATTTTTAATCGTTATGCTTTTTTAAATTCCTCATTTAAAAAAGCATCCAATTTGTAAGTGGGAGTGGAAGATGGGGCGGTGAGGAAGTAATAGCTATAGCCTTTAGAGAATAAAAACACATTTCATTCCATCCAAAAAGCAACAGCTAGACGGGGAACAATAACCTTTATTCGTTATGTATGTGTTTTCTTTTGGAGAAATCTTATACCCCTCCATCCCGAAATTGTTTTATACTCTATGCAAAACGAAATAAAATTTTAGGTTTTTTAAATTTAATTTGTTTTATTAAAGATTAGTATAAAAATATAAAATAAAACTCACATATTTAAAAATCATGTAAATTTTGTTATAAAATAATAGATACCAAGAATATTTTAGCATATCAAAAAATTAATAAAAAGTACAAATAAATAAAAATTTCTGTGACATTTGAATAGAGAACAATGTAATTGTTTTTGGGATGGAGTAGGTATTATCTAAAAATGTACCCCCTCTGTCCCAAAAAGTCTGTCCCGTTTTATTTTTTGCGCATCCCAAAAACACTTCTACCCACATCTAAAATTCCTACAATTTACCACATTTATCCTTTATTATGTGTAGAAGGCATTTCGGAAGTTTTTTTGACATTTGAGACGGTTTAGAAGTGTTTTATGGGATGCGCAAAAAATGAAACGGGATAGACTTTTTGGGACGGAAGATGTATAAATTAATCAGTGTACTTTAGGTGAAAGTAATACGGAGTATAAGTTTTGTACTTCATCGGTCTTAAATTAAATTGTCTGTTTCGGTTTATAATGTTTGTTGAAGTTATTATCAAATCATTTTAATTGAAATTGTGGTGAAAATAAAAAAATACATAATTAAAAACTACATCAAAAGTTCTAAGAAACAAGAAGTGAAATGACTATATTCTTTTATCAAAATTAAATGAGTAACAAAAATATCTAGGTAAAAAATAACTGGATTAGGCAACTTAAATAAAGGCAGGAGAAAAATAATATTTCTTGTTTGATCTACTTCTTGTGTCAACTTTTTTTTCGTTATATATAAATTTCATCTCCATAATTTTCCATGAAATGTACAACGTAGTTATCATATAAATTACTTTTACGGTTTGTAATATAATATATATTAATCACTAATATCTATATTGGTATATATTCATAGATTACAAAAAAATATACTCCTCCCGTCCCAAATTATAATGTATGTTCACTATTCACATGGTCAAATTTTATTCACTTTCTTTCTTTATTTTTGTTAGTAATTTGATAAAATTATATATTATTGTCACTACTAGTTTTGTAGATCTTTTGATATAGTTTTTTAATATGTAATTTTTATTTTTCAATTCTATATCATTTGTCATATAAAATAGTTTAAAAACAATTTCAGTCAAACATCGTAAACCGAATCAGGCATTATAAAATGGGACGGAAGGTGTAATATTTTAAAATTACATGTCCAAGATAATGGGAATTCAATTATTCATTAATCTGCAATAATAGCTACCGTAAAATTGCAAATCTGCGTTTGAGGAGAAGAGGGAGGGAGGAAAAGCCCAAATATGCATTTGGAAATAGAGTACCATTGGAAGAAAGACACCTACAAAGATGAACAAATTAAGTAGAGCACCATTATATTGGAGATGCTCTAGCTAGCAATATATATAAATCTTGTATCCTAAGTTATTTTAGGACTCGTTTTTGAAAATGTGGTTCAATCCAAATATCTTGTCCAATTCAAGAGCCCTTACCCGTTCTTAAATCTACCATGGTATCGGAGCTAGTTTTAGTCCATCTTATTTGTTAACGTGTTCGTCTATATGTTCATTCTTAGTGACCCTAGTCTTTAGTCCAATTATCTGTGTGAAATGTTATTCAATGACTTATGACCTGTGTAACATGATTCGGTGATTCCTTGTCTCGAAATTCATACCCAGTGGCTTGTAATTCTTTAAGTGTTGGCGCTAAAAAATCAATAGGATGAAGGTTTATTTGCAATTGGTCAACCGGTTAGATTCAAAATGGTCTGATAGTTTTTTTGATGAGGAGTGTTAAAGAGTATCCCACGTTAGAAAAGTAAGGAGAAAATAATGGGCATACAAACTATTGAGTTGAATTAAATAATCAATTGAATTCCATATTTTAATATGGTTCAATCTAAGTATCTTATGACCCAATCAAATAATCTTTACTCGTCGTAAAATCTATTAGGAAAGCTTCACCAACTTTGAAAAAAATAGAAATAGAACTAATTTTTTTGAATACTCCCCCGTCTCCATTGTGATTACAATTTTTTTCACGAAGTAAATGCATAAATTAAATACAACCCACACTTAATACTCCCCCGTCTCCATTGTGATTACAATTTTTTTCTCCTTTCTCGATAATTTTTATTTATTTATGCAATTTCATTAAATATTTGATAAACTAAAATATATTTTTTTTCGTTTTGTAGAACTTTTTAAAAAGTTTTTTAATACGTAATTTTAAAAAACAAAGAATGCTTTTTTACTTTTTGTATTCAAATTAAAGGAATCTTTTTTACTTTCTTTTTTTTACCCATGGAGAACAGCTGCATGATATATCTGGTTCTTAACTTCTTATTGTGAGTAGCAGAAAATGCATGTGAACTACGAGTAGTTGAAGAATATTTTTAATGTCTCAAGTTGCTGTGCTATTGAAAAATATTAAGTAGTAACTCACTGTGTGGAGTGAGTAAATGACTATTTTCATCAACGCTATCTCCATCACCCGTGAGTAAGAAGGTGTTTGACAGTGCGTTACTTTTAATAATTTAGCTTTTGCTTTAAGTAAAAGTGATTTTATTCTGTTTGGCAAGCCAGCTTCTGCTTTTCACTGCCACTATTTTATACACAACACCATTTCAGAAAAGCAGGTATGAGATGCTTTAGCTTTCAGCTTTTGTGGAAATCACTTTATCCAAAAATTAATCACTCCCAAACAAGCTCTAAATGGTCTCGTTCCCTTAGCAATTTTTTTAAATTATATGAATATATATTATTAAATTTTTATTCCAAATTTATATCATTTTTTAAATAAACATATTACTTTCATCCCATCATATTTTTGTTTTATTTTATACTCCCTCCGTCCACAAATAAACTTCCCGTTGCGCATTACGATGTTTGACTGAAGTTATTTTCAAATAATCTTATACTCCCTCCGTCCCCCTAAGATGTTCTCATTTTGACTTTCGATGGTTTTTAAGGAGAGTTGAAAAAAGGTGAAAGTTTACCATAATACCCTTAATGAAAATGGGTGGAGTGTATTAAATGAGGTGGGTGAGATGTAATAAATAAAGTAAGTGGGGGTAGTTGTGGTATTTTAATTGTTAAAAAGTGAAATGAAAAGATCTATTGTGGACAAAGAAAACTGACTATTGAGAAGATCTATGGGGGACAGAGAGAATATGAAAAATGGTGTAAAATTTAAAAATAAAAATTACAGATTAAAAAACGATATCAAAATGGTGACATGACTATATTAATTTATCAAATGGGTGACGAAAATAAGTCAACAAAGTGAATAAAGTTTGACCCTGTGAATAATGAACGAGAAGTTTATTTGTGGACGGAGAGAGTATCATTTTTCAAGTAAAATACTACGAAGTATAACGCGCAAATATATAAAACAAAAATGGTCATATATAGCGAACTGAATATTTCCATATACAACGCACACAAATTATATAACAAAAATGTTCATACATAACGAACTCAATATTTTCATATATAACACACACAACATAAATAATGAAAATGTTCATATATAACTTCAATACCCCTTTTCAGAAACAAAAAAAAAAGAAAAACGAAAAAAATCATAGCATTTTTACTCCATATCATCAGGCTCATCATCGATCGCTCTCGCAGTCGCCCCTCTTGGTCGTTTGGACTGCCATAATGAGGCACCTCAACGTTGGACGGGAGAGGTGGATTGAGCGGGCCGGGCAGTTCTGCGGGTGCCTCTGCAACCCATTGCCATGCTTGGGACGTTCTTCATCATCTCGATGGTTCTCCTGCCGCACATGCACATTTTTTCATCCCAAACGCTACACTCCACGCTTTGAACATCTCCATCCCTCATATCTTCGGATTCTTCGGCTCACACTTCACAATTTCAACGCCGAACTCCACGTTTTCAATTTGTTTCGTACATAACTAGAGAGTCGGAGAGAAGATATGAGGGATGTAGACGTTTAGAGCGTGGATGGTGGCATTTTGGATGAAGAAATGCGACTTGTGTGGCTAGAAAATTGCTCAAATGATGAAGAACGCCACGAGGAAGGCAATGATGTGGTTGCACAGGCACCCGCTGAGCCGCTCGGCCCGCTCCATCCACCCCTCCAGTCCAACATTGAGCTGTTTCATGATGGCAATCCGAACAACCAATGACGGACGACTTCTAGAGGGATCCATGAAGAGTCAGT